CCTCTTTGTAATGTACGTAATGGTGGTTCACTCTCGATTGTTGGCCATACGCCTGATGTAGATTTCCACAATGGGAATCGTTTGCTGTTTGGGGAGAGTTGCTCCATATAGTCCATTTGAGCTCGGTGATTCTCATCTTCTAGGGCTTTGTGTAGTAGATGGTTGGCTTTTTTTAACCGCTCTTTTGGGTCAGGTGATCTGTGCGCTTGCCACTTCCGCCGAAGCCTTCTCTTATTTCGTAGCAGCTGCTCAATATGCCTGGGAATACGACTGCTTTTGTAAAGCTTATAAGCTGGAGTGGAATGTTTTGCCGCCCGTGACATTACAGACACTAATGCTTCAACTGAGGTATCTATGTCATCTTTGCAGTTAATGTTTGGGCAGCCATCAATATGGGAACTTACGTACTTCCTGTATTTAAGCCGGTCAGTTTTTCTAGAAGCTAAAAAGTGTGGGCGCTCCTAGTACTGTGGGTGGTCATAAAGGTGAAGAAGGATTGGCGAGTGATCCGATGATAGATCTGTTAAGTGCTCCACACAAATCTGAGCCTGTGGCACTCTTCTTGTAACAGCAAAATCAACCAAGTCTGGTTGCTTCTTTGGATCTGTGGGCTAATATGTAGGCCAGCCCGGGGAAAAAAAGTCAAGCTTGTTTCGTGGTGTTATTATAACGTTGTATAGTTGTCTTCCTTTTGGGTTAATGAGTCGGGATCCCGAATGTGTGTGTTTGGCATTGTAGTCACAAACGGAGAAGCGCGGTGGGCAGTATACACTCTGTATTTTGATATGAATTGTTATGGCCTGTAGATAAGTTGAAGCAGATGCTGGCAACGGATAGTGCCTGATGCGACGCTTTATCAGGATGCCACTACCTCCATGAGCCTTGCCATCGGGATGATTGGTCGCATAGAAGTTGTAGCCATTGAGATGAAAATAATTTTTGTTTGTTAGGTGAGTCTCTGATATGAGCATGCCGTCAATGTCATGTTGATTGAGGAACTGCAAGAGCTCGCATTTGTGTTGTGAAATGCCATTCGCATTTCAGAAACATATTTTTAATGAAGCCGTTTAAGTAGATTTCTTTTTGATTAGTAATTCCAGAAGGAGATTTTGATTCCGAATAATTTCCTGCATCGTTTGTTGTATTGCTACCATTGTATTTGTTAAAGTTGCTAGAATTGATTCAATCCCACTAGGCAATCGGGATGGATTTGCAGTGGTATGTTGGGTAGTAGTTTCTGGTCCCTTTGTATACAGGGCAGCCTCTATAGTTGGCAGTTTGGGTTCCCCCACAGTTGTTACATTTTTTAGAAGAGGGGTCCTCATTATTTACAGGGCAGGCCTCAGGGTACAATAGGTTATTGTGTGTCCATATTTCTGGCAGTTTGTGCATTGGACAGGTCAAATTCGTTTGTGCGTTTCCTCAACGGTGATTTTACGGTGCAGTAGATATTGCAGCTTATAAATTGGGTGAACTTAGTTTTTATTTATAGGCATACAGTCAGGTGTCAGTTCTGCCTTGAACATTGGTTGGGAGATTTTATTTCTATTTATTATGTTCATGGCCATTTTGACTTCAAAGCCCTTATCTTTAAGTCAATCTTTTATCTCGCTGACTGGAACTGTTGGCTCGATTCCTTTGATAACCACTTGTAATCCCTTGCTACTTTTAAGTTGGCAGGTGTAGTAGTTCATATTTTCATCGTCGAGGTATTTGACCAGTGATCGATAGGTATTTTCATTATTGACTTTTATTTTAGTTTCATTTATGCTACCCCTTTTTATAGACGTAACATAGAATTTGTTTTCGCCAATTTTGGTAGTGAGCTTTTTAACCAATTCTGTAGAAAGCTGGGTGAGCATATTAACGCAGGGGAGAGAGTGCGTTCTCTTAATCGTTGGCATTAATTTATTTTTTCAAATTTAGTTCGTTTTAATTAGTTCTAATCACAATATATGATCAATTTACATGGGTCACACGAGCATAAGTGCCCATGCATACCCTGAGCGTCTTTTCGCGAATTAATTTGGTTAATTTGGCGTTAAGTGCACTATATTTTTAACACACGGCGGCAAAATTTGTTGAAAGGGGGCAACGGCACCTTTTAAGGGGGATACAGATAAATAATAATTTAAGTCGGGGCTTCGGTTTACCTTCGAACCTGAATTAACTCATAAACTGCATGATAGCTTCTAAACTATTGAAATGATTTTAACATAATGTTTAATTTTTTTTAATTAAGTCTGCTTCATTATTTATTTGAATATGAATAACAAATCATACTGCCATTTTTTACAATAAAGAAAATTCTTGAAACATTATAGACCAGAAATGCAGCAATACGGTACTAATCTTAAAGGGGTATTTTACTTGCCGAATAGGACGACTCACAGCGAGTAATTAGTATTGCATTAGTGCATATGTATTTTCGGTTGACTAGCTTAATGTAACAAGTTTTTCCTGTCTAAAGTCCCAAGAGATTGATTAGACGAGATTATGTGGAAGAGTTTATTATAATTAGAGCACAAAACACGAAAAGGAGAGTGAAGTGCAAAATTTTAAGTACAGAGACCGGTTATTTCTTCTGGGTCTAGAGGAACTACGAAGTTTATACGATGTTTTATATTGCCTGCAGTGATTTCTTCCGCCACGAGCTTGTAAAAAAAACTACACCATGACAGGTTCTACGATCTTGCAAGGTTGGGTGATTAATAAAACGTAATCTGTCATGATAAGGTGGCAATCATCGATTAGCATCCAGGCCAGTTGAAGGCCCTGCAAACCAAATAATAAAAATTGCTTTTGAACGGACTCAATCATGGTATTTTATACCCATCTCCGACCCCATAAAGTATATATATTCTTGAACAGCATGACGAGAGAAATCGATCTAGACATGTCCGTCCGTCCGTCTGGATGAACGCAAGGATCTCAGAAACTATAAAAGCTAGAATAACCAAAGTTGGCATCCAGATTCTCCTAGGTCCGAGTAAGGACGAGTTTATTTTATTTTTTGGAATTTTCCCCGCTTTCCCCCGCTACAGAATTTCGTCAATATCGTCCACATTTCAAATGCTACCTAAACCAAACTTTGCACACATAATTTATATATAATTGTCTATTGTTGTTCAAAATTATTATTCATTATTTCATTATTTATTCAATTCGGTCAATTCTAAGAAAAGTTATTAGCAAAACAAATTCTCGCCAGTACAACCCCCACAAACTGCAGCAACAAGTTCGCTCTTCTTCTTCCTCTTTTTGCTGCTGCTATGGGCGCATATAACTCAGTGACGCAAGTTTACCTGGGTACAGGGTATTACACTGTCGGGCTTGCTCGACTGTAGCGTTCTCTCTTGTTTATACTGAGGAGACCAAACGCATGAGCAATATTCCTTAATGGGACAAACGAGAGATGTATAGGGTATATTTTTATGTACGGATCGTCAAATTATTTCGACCATTATATTATTATGAGTTTCAAGCCAGTACTCCAGCGTGCGAAGCATTAGAAACCACCCAACCAACTACAAAGTAGACGGAGTTTCTGCAGCGCATAAGAGAGAATAATCAGCATTCGAAAATCACATCTTCCGAATGAATAAACATATTTTCAAAAATCAAATTGAAAGAAATTATTGTACATTATGATACGATTTCTAGACTTGCCTGCGTACTCATATAAGACATCTTGGAATAAAATTTGGTGTCTCTAGCTCTTATAATTTGTGAGATATAGGCGGGAGTGGGGGTGCATCAAAAATGAAACAAGTTTACACACACATAAGGCATAGGTGTCCGAAATTTGGTAAGTCTAGGTCTCTGAGATTCAGGTGCTAATACGGAAAGACAGGGCTAGATCGATTCTTGTTGGCACGTTGATCAAGCATATCTAAATATCTCCTAAGCTGTGATATCGATTTCTTTGAAACTACAATTTTCTTAATCCCTGGGAAAGTTCCTCTCAGATAGGTATGTTCATATTACCGAAAGCGATCAATTTTTGATTTTTGGAAATCCACCTCATTATTTGCACCATAGCCAAAGTAAACCAGCTCAACTCCACTTTCATAAGATACAGCAGCAACGACTGCTCCTTGCATGATGGAAGGCATCATTTCATTTTCTGATATGATATCGGCGCCATGCAATATATATCGACTATCTTAGTTAGTACAGCCCATCAAAATCTCAAAATTAGCTGTCCTCTACAGGTTTCGCCACTACGTGGCTAGGTCATTTATTAACTAAACCAAACGCAATGAACGTTTCTAATGGGCACAGATGTATTTGGTAGTACAAGTGTTTTTACATAGCCGCCGTGCCTAATGCGTCTTGAACTAATCTTGTTAAAAAGGGGTGCCTTTAAATTAGGTTTTACATTTATTTTAAAGCAAAGCTGTGTGTGTTTTTCCTATTTTGTTGTTCAATTAATTACTTTAAGATGTACTATTTACATGCTTACAAATATATATGACTGCTTAGATAAAGATGATTGATTTTACATACATTTAAATTGTGATTTTTTATTATTATTATTATTAATTAAATTAAATCAGTTTTATTTTTTGTTAACAAAAATTGTTTGTTTAAAAATAGTAGTAATATTAATCAAATTATAATACAACGTGTGAGCTTCATTTTCAAGCACTAATTGTGTGCTTCAAATCTAAAAGCTAAGCAATTTTCCATGTGCTATGTTGTAAATCGTAATTAATAAATAAAAAAAAATAATAACGTTTTATTTTTTGTTAAGGAAAATTGTTTGTTTAAAAATAGTACTAATATTAATCAAATTATAATACAACGTGTGAACTTCATTTTCAAGCACTAATTGCATGCTTTAAATCTAAAAGCTAAGCAATTTTCCATGTGCTATATGTTGTGAATCGTAATAAATAAATATAAAAAAATAATAAAAACGTTTTATTTTTTGTTAAGGAAAATTGTTTGTTTAAAAATAGTACTAATATTAATCAAATTATAATACAACGTGTGAACTTCATTTTCAAGCACTAATTGCATGCTTTAAATCAAAAAGCTAAGCAATTTTCCATGTACTATATGTTGTGAATCGATTTTAATAAATAAAAAAAATATATATAAACTCTTCATTTTTAAGCTAAGGAAAATTGTTTGTTTAAAAATAGTAGTAATATTAATCAAATTATAATACAACTTATGAACTTCATTTTCAAGCTGTTGTGAATCGTAATTAATATATAGAACTTAAAACCGACTTCCACAGGAGACTGCGACTATATTTATTTAACATAAGTTATTTAACGACTTTAAATCTATTAAAATGGTTTAAATTCTACGATATCGGCAGCTGGTGAGGCCAGGCGTGGTGCAATCGCTGGATTAGTGATTGTGATGGGTAGCTCAAGAGAAGTAGGCACATTGCTATTGACATTATTTGCCACCACACCAATAACTGCCAAGCTGTCTTCTAAATTGGCATCAGTTAGTGGCGAAACACGACGTAGCTGCACACCGCTGACATGCTCGAGCGTGGACATAATGGGCATCTGATTGAGCAGCGCGTTTGTTTCGTTTGTGCGCGCAGTAATGGGAGGGGTCAAATTTGTTGCTGCCGATGGCGGTATATACACATGACCCACTTTTTTATCATCAATATCATCGTTGTCACTGTCTGCCAGCAGTGCCGATGATGTAGTTTCAGTTCGCGCATTTACGTTCAGAACACCTATGCCAGTGCTAGCGAGTCTGGATATTCCGTCGTCGCTGATTTCCTCACTATTTAGCGTTTCAACCTCGTTACTGCTGCTTGCCATAAGCTCTTCTACATTGACCAGTTGCAGGTCGCGCTCTTGAAGATATTCCTGGGCTGCTTGTAATATGTCGCTCCCGTGCAAATATACGCGGTCACCATCATCCGCGATTAGTTCAATATTTGAGTCGGGTTGTTCCGCTATGCTAATAAGCGCCAATGGATCCAGCTCCAGGCGATGACCATTAACGCTCAGCAGCAGCATATTAGGATGCATCTGATCGTCGTTCAGCGTAAGTTGAGGGTTATTGTTTTGTGATTGCATTTGCAGTATATCCCTATCTTCTTTATCAGACGACTCATCGATAGTATTATCAGCATGGCCATAGAAGTCGTGAGTTCTAACTGTGTTGGTGTGACTGCTGACAAGGTCCCTCTCATCTATAATACCAACAGCAGATCCCTGCTCGCTTTCTGGATCGCTATTAATTTCAAGAGCAGGCGAAGAATACGGCACAGCAGCAAATGTCACCTCATTTGCTTCTTCTTCTTCTTCTTGATCTTGCTGTTGGTCCAGTATATGGCCCATGGTCTCTCCATCGAGAAAATCAATGTCCGTGAAAACAGCGGAGAGTGGATGTCCATCGGCCAGACGAGGCGGTTCGGTTAGCACTTCGTCCGGTACAGGCACTAAATGATTTTTTTCGTTATCCAAGTACAGAGCCACATTATTTAGTGGCGTGAAGTTATTGTTAGCTAACGAACAAAGCATGAAGGTATGATTATACCCAGGTATGGGTCGAGTCATAACAGCACATATGCGACCAGCGCCCAGTTGACTCGTTGCGCCTGGTGCCTGTTGGATATAAAAAGAGTCAGAAATAATTATACAAAGGTTGGAATACGATTTTAGAAAAATGTCTTCCCGATCTCCCTAAATACACATCTTCTGAGATATTTTGTTGCAAAGTTTAGATAAACAAGTAGAGAAGCTAAAGTCGGGTATTCCGACTTTGAAATACTCTGTACATATTTGTAGAATAACTATGAGTGTATGTGTGTGTCTGTGTATGTCTCGTGTGCCTGAGCAAAGCAGTAACAACAACAGCTGCGGGCACTACTTGGTCTTATGCACATACATGGCTATAACTTCCTGTTAAATCGGCCTATCATTAAGAACTTGGCATTTGGACTTATTATAAGTAAATGGAGGTATTTGCCAAGTTTGAGTTCGAAATTCCAAGAAATACGGGAGTTATGGATTGCGGGGGATGGGGGGAGGGAGGGAAATTCCAGAATTCCATTTTCTGCGTATTCACAAAAGGCATCTTGGACTAAAATTGTGTGTCCTTAGGTCTTATAGTCTCCGAGATATAGGCGATTATACGAATGGAAAATCGGGTGAACCCCCATAAGGGGGAAGTGGGGGAAAATCAAAAAAATAAAACAAACTTGCACAGCGTACACACATAAGGCATCTTTGTGCAAAATTTGGTGTCTCTAGCTCTTATAGTCTCTGCGATCCAGGTGTTCATACGGACAGACTGACAGTCGGACAGACAGACAGGGCTAGATCAACTCGTCATGCTGTTCAAGAATATATATACTTTGTGGGGTCTGCCACGCCTCCTTCTGCCTGTTACATGTTCAGCTCCCGCAAACCCAATATACTCTTGTACATTTTATGTACAGAGTATAAATATTTAAGATTAAATATTTGATATTTGTAAATTTACAGAGGTTTGCAGCTTAACTGGAAAATGGAATAGGCAGAAGGTGGCGTGGCGGACCTCACAAAGTGTATACATATATTCTTGATGAGCATGACAAGACAAGTGGATCTAGCACTGTCTGTCCATCTGTCCGTCCGTATGATCACCTAGATCTCAGGGACTATAAGAGATAGAGACACCAAATGAACGAATTTGTTTCAATTTTTTTTGACTCAGCCCCCCACTCCAAATAACACCAAATTAGTCCGAGATGCCTTATATGAAGACGGAGAATATGTGCATGTGAATTTTCCTCCTTTCCCTCACTCCCCACATAGGTACAGAGTTGCGACACTGTGTTTTACATACATTCGCACAAAACTAGTAAAACCTTTTACCCCCCTTTGGGTACAGGGTATACAAAATAAATATTATACTTTCGATAATACCTCCATCGGGATTCGAACTCACGTATATGACTGCGTACATATTTACATTGGTATTAAGTCTTTGCATGTCTGTGTGTGAGTATGTGTGCAGTACAGAGTTGAGCCAAAGCAGTTGCAACAAAAGCTGTGGAAGTTATGGAAAATTCCTACTACCGTGTGAGTGGGGGGAGAAAGGAGGAGAAGCCTCCTTCCGCCTGTTACAATTTTCACTCTGCCCAATCTCAATACATTTATACGTTTCCACATTAAAAAATGATACATAGAAAAAAATAATGTCTATGATTATGTTCAACATTTAATAAGATGTTCTTTGATCAGCCTGCACAATTCATAAATTAATTAATTTTTTATACTAATCACTTGAGTTTTTTTTTTTGGAAAATGGGTACGACATCGGATGTCATTGTACTTACATTTTCCCCGCACTCCATTGGTGTTGCACTGCGCTGTACTATTGTTGGCTCTTGCTTGACCTCTATGAAATCCGCCTTGTGCTTGTGATTGTTAAATTTTGCTGGCATCGCTATATTCTCGTGGTCGTTTTCACTTATCACGTTGCGCAAACGTTTCCGCTCGCGTTGATCTGTTCTGCACAGTGGTAGAGATGTTGGCAGGGACGCTGGACGGCAATGTCTTGCTCGCAGATGCGCTAACTGTTGCTTCGCTTTCACCACATCTTGATGACGCAGCTGTGTACTTTCTTTTACGGATGTTTGGGGCATCATCGTTTCTACCTTCTGCGGCTGACTGACGATTTTATTTTTTCTGTGCAGCGCATCCAATTCGCATGAATCTTCAAAGAAAGGCTTGTCGTTTTGCTGAATCGTATGTTTTCTTCTACTCCAGCGCTCGCGTGCCATTCGACATTTCTCTGCACTACGTCCGTTGAGCTGATCCGCCTCGTTTTGCAGCAATAGCTCCTGCTCGCGTTTTGTAAACATTTGTCGTGATGGGGCAACGCACTGACTCGCTTCTACGGCTCCCAGAACGGGACAGCCTTCATGAGAGTTCAATAATATACCCAAGTCTGCCGACGATGGTGCTTGTTGCACTGTAGAGTGTTCTTTAAAGCATTGAGTTTTCTTCACTTTTATTTCCTCTTCTTCCATCAAAATTGGTTCATCAATGTCTTGCATTTTATTTGCAACTTCTTCATTATCAGACTTCATGACCAAAGAGGGTAGCGACATTGAATTCTCAGCACTCTCGCTGTTCTCATCACTATAGACAGTTTGTAGATCGACAGATATGGAGCTTAATTGCTTACTGGTTGAGTCACGACTGTCTGCTACAATCGGTACACTCGTAGTTGTAGTTTCGCTGCTATTAGCATGTGGTCTTTCATAAAGGTTTGGCAGCCGTATATTTTCCAATATGAGCACGCCACCACGGAGAACCGGTTGTGTCGCATCAATGATAGTGTTGGTATGCTGTGGAATATCGCAAGTACCACTATCATCATTTACAGCGCTAGGCGCTAAGCGTTGAAGTTCACGTGCCTCCTCAGCCGAAATAACCGCTATGTTGGAAGCAACTGAACAACTGGTGCTAGAACTGAATGCTGGGGATGCCAAGCCGAAACAACTAGCTGTGCTACTCAAGTTGCTAAGCTCATCAACTACTGGTGGCGTCAGCAACTGATTAGATGTTCCAAAATCCGACGCCTGTGTTGAAGAAGATACTTCTTTATAATCGTACTCCTTTCCTCGCACTTTAGTTCGGTTCAGCACGGTGCGAACTTTCTTTTTCAAATTGCCAACTTGTGGCTTCTGATTATGGCGTCGCTTGTCTATTTTGGTTAAGTGATGATCCGAACTATTAGCTACTGATTTAATTTTTCCTTGCCGCTGCTCATGTTCAATTTTAATTGTTTTTGACGGCATACTCTTTCGAGAACCAATCTGTTTTTCAGATGGTTCTACCGAAACGGGCACTGAACTTAGCAACGTATGGTCATAGTTTTGCAATGATTTGTTGCGTGATTTGAATATTCGCTTCTGGCGTTCCTTAATTGGTAAACTTAATTTATTAGATGATTCCTGCTCGCGCTCGGCCTCTATCTCAGCTGCTGCAGCTGCCTGCACCCAATCCTCTTCAAATCCATTAAACAATTCATCGTTCGATAAATTTATATCATGTTTGTTTATTTCCATATTTTGTTGCTGTCCTTCTTTACTTTCTTCAATAAATGGCAGCAGTTTTTCTTCCACCACCTTTTGCTGGGGAGCAATATTGGTCTGCGCAGAAGCATTAGCGGTAACTTTTAAACGATCTCTGTAGCTGAGTCCATTTTGCTTATCTGCCGAAGTTTCATGATGCTGTTGCTTCTCATCCTCCTCAAAATCGAAGCAACAGGCGGAGTAGTTATTATTAATATTTATAGTGGGAATAAAGTTATTACCATTGCCAACACCGCTATACAATTTTGATGTTGCTGCAGTGGTTGCCTCATTCAACTTTTGTAAGGTCCCCTTACCTCGATCAATCTTTGGTGTGCCATTTTCGCATTTCTTGACACTCTGGTTGTTATCACTTTCTTGTATATAATCAGTATTAACTTTAGGATCCACTGCCTTTACTGTGCTATTATCGGCACAATTTTCAGTGGTCGTTTCTAAAGTGGTTGGGGCTGTAACTATGCAATCGACATTTTTAATTGGTGACTCATCGAGCTCATCATCGCACCACTCAGCCAAGAGGCTCTGTTGTAGTTCAAATGATGCAGCAGTGTTGCGCTGGGACATGGCTACATCTGCACAATTCTTTAGGATTGGCGTCACAACAGATGAAATTGTGCTCCTTGTAGGTGAACTGACGACACTGCGGGAGTTAACATGCGACCGTTGTTGTTTGGGCGGTCTTGGGGACACACTGGTTCTCGATCTTGATGTAGAACTAGAAGAACGTGGTGGGAACGTAAGGGTGTTGCGCAGGGCCCGTTTGCTTTTGGTTGGCACTTTTTTGTCTGTGGCTGAAATCGGTGCATTAATTAAAACTATGGTCTGACGTCTCGCATCTGGTGCCAATCGACGACCAACCCTGCGGGTGGGTGAAGACTGTGGTGATAGCAACGGAGGATGCAGGATTGTGGATTTTGCTGGGGATGATAAAGCTGTTGATGGCGCCGCTGACAAGGTTGCTGCCGTCATGGAGCGAGTAAGGCGGCGCTGTTTGGTAATAGACGGTACAGGGGCTGCCATTGTAGTACTTAATTGATCATTATGTTGACCACCACGCCCTACTGATGCATGCTGCGTGTTTCTACGCTGTGTTTGCTTCGACTTCGGCAATAATGTTTGACAGAACACCGATTCTGTTGGCACCGATGGTTGCACAACACGTTCTATGCTGGCCATAGTTTTTTTCACAATAGCAGCCACTTTCAGCTGATCCTCACCCGTCAATGGCGCATCAACCACAATTGATACGTGACGTGAATGACAGCGAACTGAATCTTTTGAAAATGTGGCATGTGTCAGACTATCGCAACGCAATTTGGTTCCGCCGCTTGTTGTTGTGTTAGCGCGGCGTTTGGCGCGCGTTTTATTTGTCACATTTGTTCCATAATATTCCCTTTCTGGCGTTGAACGTTGTTCGCTATTTTTATGATGGGCCCGACGATGAATGAGCAACACACTCATGCTGGTGGTGCGAAAGTTGCATGTGTTGCACTCGTAGCTTTCCTCTTTGACGCGTTGATCAGTGTTGGCTGGCTTCCCGCCGCCAATATCCATAATGCGGAACGTTGACTCCTGCATAACATAAAATAAACTATATATTAATATGTAAGTATTAAAGTCCATCGCCCACGTTTCAACTTTAAGGAATTATCTGATTTTGACAATAAGATTAAAATTTAATAAATGAGTCTTAGAGCTCTTCAGAATACAGTTGTAGCATTGTTAGCTGTGTCCAAATTTCAGTTTCATAGCTTTTACCGTTTGGACTGTGCATTGATCACCAATCAGAGTGTCAGTCAGTCACTCAGGACAAACTGTTTTATATATATAGAAAATGGAATAGAATATATGTATAGAGATGGGGTCGGAGATGAATTTATCTGGCTTTCACATTGCACAAGCCTAATACCCTTTTTACCCTACGAGTATGTATATGGTATACAAATTTCATTCTTAAGTGACTATACTACACATGTATGTACATGTAAAAGCAGGGTTCGTAAAATGTGCTCACTACCCGTTGCTACACAGAAAAAATTCTGCCGCGTGTTTTAGTGGGTCGCTGGCGGCAGAGCCCGTGGGTATCGTGGGTCGCTGCCGACAGCGGCAGAGTGTCGGACGAGCCAGCCTGCAACAGCCGAGCGCTCGTTCGTGGCAGGCAGACATACATACATATGTATGTGGGATGTATGAAATTTTTATGTTGGTATGCTTGTGAGTATATGTATATTTCAAGGCGAAATGTGCGCGACCCATTTCATCTAGCTTCATCTAGCTGATTTTTCTGCGTTTGCATAGTGGTACCTGATACTATATTTCATACATACATATATGAATATCTTTTTTGGCTATACGAAATAAAAAGACCATTTGCAAATAAATAAACAAGTTAAAAAGCTAAAGGCGGGTGTCTTTGAAATACTCTGTACATTTGTTTAGAATAATTATAGAAATTACAAAAAATTAAAAAAAAAATTTGTTGTATAATTGCACATACAAGGTGTTTTCCAAAGGACTTTAAAAAAAAGAGAACAAATGGTTTTTTTGGCAAAATCAATTTATTTTATTCAAAATAGTCTTCTTCTGCTTCAATACAGCTTATTGCACGATCCAAAAGCATGTCGAACTAGTGTTTTATCCCGTTGGCCGGTATGGCCGCCAGTATGCCGGTGCAAGTCTTTTGAATGGCCTCTACGTCTGCATAACGCTTTCCTTTCATGGGCAAATGAAGTCGCACGGTGCCATATCAGGTGAAAACGGCGAGTGGTTAATGGTTAAAATGTGATTTTTGGTCAAATAATCGGACACAAGCGTCGATCGTCTGACGACGTCAGTCGTCAGTCAATTTGTGCGGAACTAACCGTGCACACACCTTTCGTAAGCCCAAATGTTCGGTCAAAATGCGATAAATCGATGTTTTGGAGATGTTCAATTCCATTTCCATCAATTTCAATGATGATTTCGGCTGATTTTTGATGAATTCACGCACAGTTTCGATGGAATTTTCGGTGATCACGAATTTTGATTGGCCCACATGTTGATCATCATTTATGTGCTCACGACCATTTTGAAAACGTTGAAACCACTCGTGCACTCTGCTACTGTATAGGCAATCATCGCTATAAACTTGTTTCATCAATTGAAACGTTTCGGTAAAAGTTTTACCAATTTTAAAACAAAATTTAATGTTGGCTCTTTGTTCGAAGCTCGCCGATAACACAAACATACTGACACTTAAAACGCAATAACTTCACTTCCAATCGATGAAATGTCATGAAATTCTCACTGGACAATCGATAAGGATAGCAGATTCTAACGCACCATTCGACATATAGATAGCGCCACCAGGGGGCGCTAGATTAAAAAGGTCCTGTTTACTTTGGAACGCACCGTGTATACAAATCAATTGCGTCTATGTGAGTGTATGTATGCTCATGCGCGTCTATTCGTGTCTGTGTAAGCATGTTCGCAGTCAATCAAAGCACCAGCATAAACAACAGCCGCGGGCAGCGCTTGAGCAGCGCTGCAGCAGCAAATATGTTTATGGCTATAACTACTTGTTAAATCGGTCTATCGTGATGAAACTTGGTATACGGATACATAATAACTAACTGAAGGTATTTGCAAAATTTCGAAGAATTACGGGCGTTAGAGAAAATTTGCATGGGAGAGGGGGGAGGGAGGGAAATTCCAAAATACACATTTTCTGCGTATTCACATAAGACATCTGGGACTAAAATTTGGTGTCCGTACGTCTTATAGTCTCCGAGATATAGGCGATTATACGAATGGAAAATCGGGAAAACCCCCATAGTGGGGAAGTTGGGGGAATATCAAAAAAAAAAAAAAAAAAAAAAACTTGCACAGCGTACACACATAACGCATCTTTGTGCAAAGTATGGTATCTCTACCTCTTATAGTCTCTGAGATCCAGGTGTTCATACGGACAGACAGACACGCAGACAGGGCTAGATCGACTCGTCTCGTCATGCTGATCAAGAATATATATACTTTGGGGTGTCTGCCACGCCTCCCTTCTGCCTGTTACATTTTCAGCTCCCGCAAACCTAATAGAGTATAAATATATACACACAGGCATACCATCAAACAAATTTCACACATCTGTACATATCCCTGCCTGCCACGAACGAGCGCTCGGCTTCTGCAGCCCGGCTCGTACGACGCTTTGTTGCCGTCGGCAGTGACCCACGGCGAAGTATGGCGACCCACGGCTTCTGCCAGACGGCTCAGACGGCTCAATCGGCAGCAACTCACTGTGACCCGCGACAGAATTTCTCGTGTGTACGAATGAGTTTTGCTCTGATTTTACGAACCCTGTGTAAAAGTAAAAGTTCCACTAGTAGAATTAGTAGGGGGAAAAAGTGGGTGCACCTAGCTCTCGCTTAACACGGTGTTCCTAGAATACTTCGTACAGTTCCCTGGTAATAGTTCGGTAAGATTACAGAGATATCTGGCTGATTTCGATATGATCTTAAAAGCATCTACATAGTACGGATGAACAGGTGCACCAGCGAAGTTTAAAGTTTGAAAGCAGGCCAAGCGAATACTTATATGTGGAGTAAATAAAAGTTGAGTGTCAATAAATTTTTATTTACTTACATTCTGCATAAATGATGGAGCTTGGGGAAACGGCAGGCGGGCATTGGTGTTTTTATTGCTGCTATTACTCGACAACAGCGCTTTGATTAAACTATCTGGCTTGCTGTCACTGTCTCCTCTGACCCTATTGGTGACTCTTTCTGCAGCTTCTCGTTGTTGAGAACGAAATTCAGCAATGTTCACATCGTCGCAAAATTTGTCTTTCATATGTAATCTATCAGCTTTTCCTGCAAAAAACCATGGATTTGTTAACAGCCAACTTAATGATTGTAAGTAATTTCTTAAGGGCAATGTAATTTACAAAGTTCAATCGCCTGTTGAAACTCATTATACACTGTACCCAAAGGGTGAAAGGCTACCGACTCAAATGTACTTCATACCGAGTTTAGTAATTATTAAAATAAAATATTTTCATATTTATTAATGTTAAAGCTATTAATGTCACAACTATTAATGTTAAAAGCATAGAGGTATTATTTTCCCAAAATAAAACAAGATAGAACGCTACAGTCGAGCAAGCCCGACAGTAAAATACCCTGTACTCTCCACACAAATGGAAAGTTTAAAAAAAAAAAAATGCTTAAAAACAAGTAGAGAAGCTAAAGTCGGTTATCCCGACTTTGAAATACTCTGTACATACATATGTGTAGAATAATTATGCGTGTATGTGTGTGTTTGTGTATGTCTGTGTATGCCTGAGCAAAGCAGTAACAACGACAACAGCTGCGGGCACTGCTTGGTCTTATGTACATATATGGCTATAACTTCCTGTTAAATAGGCCTATCATTATGAGTTCGAAAATCCAAGAAATACGGGAGTTATGGATTGCGGGGGATGGGGTGAGGGAGGGAAATTCCAAAATACACATTTTCTGCGTATTCACAAAAGACATCTTGGACTAAAATTTGGTGTCCTTAGGTCTTACAGTCTCCGAGATATAGGCGATTATACGAATGGAAAATCGGGAAAACCCCCATAGGGGGGAAGTGTGGGCAAATAAAAAAAAAAAACGAAACTCGTATAGCGTACACACATAGCGTATCTCTTATAGTCTCTGAGATCCAGGTGTTCATACGGACAGACGGACAGACAGGGCTAGATCGACTCGTCTTGTCACGCTGCTCAAGAATATATATACTTTGTGGGGTCTGCCACGCCTCCTTCTGCCTGTTACATGTTCAGCTCCGGCAAACCTAATATACTCTTGTACATTTCATGTACAGAGTATAAAAAAAAACATCGAAAAAAAATCAAACTCGTACTTTCTCGGACTTAGGAGAATCTGGATACCAAGTTTGGTTATTCTAGCTCTTATACTTTCTGAAATCCTTGCGTTCATACAGACAGACAGACGGACGGACAACCATGGCTATATCGACTCGTCTTGTCATCTTGCCCTTTTACCCTTTGGGTATAGGGTATAAAAATATATAAATTGGTACCGCCAATATTATAAAACAAGAGAGAACGAAACATTCGATAACGCCCGACAGTGAAATACCCTGTATCCAGAAAAACTTCCAACACTAAGTTAGTACTGGAGTGCAATTGTTTCGCTTATAATAAACAAAAGTAAATAATTGTATATAGATTACTAGTGCAAAGTTGTATGTAGTTGGTGAAATGTGGGCAGTATTGGCGAAATTCGCTAGCGAGGAGAGGGGAGAGGAAATCATACAAATAAAATAGACTCGTGTAGACTAGGGACCAGGAGCGAAAGGCGGACATGTCTAAATCGATTCGTCTCGTCACGCTGATCAAGAATATATATACATTATGGAGTCGGAGGTGCTTCCTTTTGCCTGTTACATACTTTGCACAAACCTAATATACCCTTTTTACCCTTCAGGTACAGGGTATAAAAATATCCATGGGAACTTTGGTATAAGAAAGTTCATTTTATTTGAAGGAATATAGTGCAGAGAGCTGCTAAAATATTACCTATGCTTTAAAATGTGCATAAAACCATTTTAAATATTGGCTGAATCTAAAAGTTAAGCATTTCAACTTACTTGTGCCGCGCTGTATTAACTCATTCTTATGCGGGCATTGAAATGGTGAAATTAACTTAGGAGATCGGACCTGTTCACTGAAAAAAAAAAAATATGCAAGAGATATTGAAATTCTAACTGAAATATACTTAAAGCAACTATACATACAACGTTTTTTCATTAAAGAATGCAACAACTGCAAATGGAGGTCGATTGGAGCTGGCGAAACGAAAGTCTTGTGATAGTGTTATCTCACCAGGCCACCAGATTTCTGTGTTGTGTATTTTTACCCAGACCACATCACCATCTTGATACCGGATCTGTTCGTTATTATCATTACGAAAACGCGGCATTATTTTCAAAGCTTTTTGCCTTGCAGGCAAATGCAGTTGAACGTGTTGAAGTCGAAGGTGATTAAAACATTAGAGACTTTTACAAATACGTTGCCACATTGGGAGCATTCGTAGCCATTTTAAAAGCTGCCATCGCCGAAAATATTGGCTAAAACGAAAAGAAGAGTTATATGTATTAGAATTATTTATAAACATATATACATTTATAGTATATGTATATAAACAACTGCCTCTTTCAGCGGGAATAAGGACAACATTTATATATACTATATGTATCCCTAAACAGTTCGCTAGACAAGCCCAGATAGTAGTTTTGGGCAAAAAAATCTTTAAAACAATACAGCTTGAGTATTATTTTTTTTTTTTTTTAAATACTTAAACAACAATCATTATTTTATGAGTTTTATTTTGTTTGCTTAAAAAATAATGTTAGTTAATAATATTAGTTAAGTTGTAAAGTAAAACTCAACATTAATCATTACATTTTTTGAGACTGAATAACAATTTAAATTTGCAAATCATGGGGAAAATGCACAGATAATCCTAAACAAGTAGAGTCCCGACTTTGAAATACTCTGTATTTTGAAATACTCTGCATATTCACATAAGGCATCTGGGACTCAAATTTGGTGTCCCTAGCTTATAGTGTCTGAGATATAGACGGAAAATCGGAAAAACCTCCATGGGGGACAAGTGGGGGGAAATCGAAAAATAAAATAAACTTGCACAGCGTACACACATAAGGCATCTTTGTGCAAAATTTGGTGTCTCTAGCTCTTATAGTCTCTGAGACCAAGGTGTTAATGTGACAGACAGACAGGGCTAGATCAACTCGTCTTGTCATGCTGATGAAGAATATACTTGTATATACCTTGTGGCGTCTGCCTTCTGCCTGTTACATGTACAGAGTATAACAAGAGAGAATGCTACAGTCGAGCAAGCCCGATAGGAAAAAAGCCTGTACTCTCCCACAAAAAAATAAAGTTAAATTAAATATATTTAATACATACAAATTGAAGATATGTTTATGTACAGTTTCATCAACATACATTTACATCATGGTGCCTATGCGTGCTTATATGCGTGTATGTATGCAGAACATAATTGTGTCAAAGCAGCAACAACGACAACAACAGCGGGCAGAGCTTCGGCGGAGAAAATATTTATGTCTATAACTTTCGTCATAAGCAACCTATCGTAACGAATCTTGGCATGCGGACTCATAATCACTAACTGGTGGTATTTGCCAAATGTGAGTACACAATTTCTATGTGGCTGAGACTTCCTGTTAAATCGGCCTATCATTATGAAACTTGGCATACGGACTCATAACTAACTGGAAGTATTTTCTGAATTTCAATGAAAAATTTCTAGAATTACGGGAGTTATGGAACAAATACGAATTGCGGGGGAGTGGGGGTGGGTCGGAAAAAACTCAAATTCGTCCTTTCTCGGACTTGGGAGAATCTGGATACCAAGTTTTGTAATTCTTGCTCTTGTACTTGCTGAGATCCTTGCGTTCATACAGTCGGACGGACGGACATGCTATATCGACTCGACTTGTCATTCTTATCAAGAATATATATACTTTGTGGAAGACACAAAATTTTGCACACTTCCCCCTATGGGGGATTTTCCGATATTCTATTAATCGATAATCGCCTACTTGTATATCTCAGAGACTATAAAAGCTAGGGACACCTAATTTTAGTCCCAAGTGCCTTATGTAACTACACAGAAAATGTGTATTTTAGAATTTCCCTCCTTCCCCCCCCCCCCCCTCTTCCCATCAACCGCTGATTTTCCATAACTCCCGTATTTCTAGAAATTTGTCATTGAAATTCAGAAAATACCTTCAGTCAGTTATGAGTCCGTATGCCAAGCTTCATAATGATAGACCGATTTAACAGGAATTTTAAGCCATATATGTATATATGACCAAACAGTGCCCGCAGCTGTTGTTGTTGTTACTGCTTTGCACAGGCACACAAGACACAGGCATACACGCATAATTATTCTACTCATATGTACAGAGTACAGAGTATTTCAAAGTCGGGACATTCGACATTAGCTTCTCCACTTGTTTAATCTTGATCATGTAGCTTTTTATACCCTGCATGAGAGTGTATGTAGCGCACAGAATCATAACCTACATTCGTTCAGTATGATGACGCGAGTCGATATACCAAGCCTTTTTACCGTTTATCCATCTGATTAAACGTAAAGATTCTGAAAAATATGAAACCTAAAACGTTTTCCCAGGTTTGAGAAAGGACAAGTTTGCATTATTTGCCTTGACGCTTCAGCTCTCACCTGGGTACAGAGCTAAGTTGGCTAGTCATGCTGATCAAGAATATATATACACGCCTCCTTTTGCCTGTTAAATTTTCACTTCGACTATACTCTTGTACCTTACAAGTAGTATACAAATAATAAAACTCGTGATGGCTAGGGCTCTCTAGTCGTTTTGATAACGGTATGTGCGGATGGAGATGTTTTCTTTTGACTGTTTGCACAAAACTTATATACCAGTTTTAGGGTTCGCAAAAATTGCTGCACACTTGGTTATGAATGTGTGTACGCGGCACTGGGCTGCAAGTAAGCAGCAAGTGCGCAGCACATGAGCAGTAACCAAACGCGAGGCCGCTGCCTGTGTATATATTCTGCACATGAGGTCCCTTCGGGTGTAAAAAGCTTATACAGTACATACCTATAAATTATTCCTTAATATTGCTTACATTTAGATAATAGTGTTGAAGTTACATTTTTATTTTTCAATTTTTTCCGGTGTAGCCTCAACTTGACTACGTGTGAAATACTAGAAATAAAGCAGCTTTATTTTACTCTGTGCATAAAATGTACAAGAGTATATTAGGTTTTCGGGAGCTGAAAATGTAACAGGCAGAAGGAGGCGTGGCAGACCCCACAAAGTACGCTGTGCAAGCTGCCAAGTTTCATCATGATAGACCGATTTAACAAGAAGTTATAGCCATAAACATATTTGCTGCTGCAGCGCTGCTCAAGCGCTGCCCGCGGCGTTGTTGATGTTGGTGCTTTGGTTAACTGCGAACATGCTTACACAGACACGAATATACGAGCATAAACATATACACCCTTTACGTGAGTTCGAATACCAAAATAGGTAAAATCGATCAAAGAAAAGTTCTTTAATTCTCTTACTTTTCTTAATTTCTATAATTATTCTAAACATATGTACAGAGTATTTCAAAGTCGGGACTAGAGTTGGGCACGGGCCGTGTTTTTTGTCGTGGCACTTCGTGCCACGCGTGGGCCCGCGTGTTCGTGTTGTAAATTCCGATTTCGTGCGTGGCCGTGCGTGTTCGTGTTGAGCCAAAAAGGCACGACAAAACACGCACGAGGAAACACGAAAGAACACTAAAATCAGAAAACGAAGCACCCAATAGTCAACACGACTTTTCTGAATTTTTGGACACTAATAATTCAAAAAAAAAATTAAATTGGACAGGTCAAGAATGGATATGGAAATAGATGACTATATAAGTAGTGTAGTTGATCCAGGAATTTGTGTGCTAACATTCTGGAAAAAAACAACAAAATGTAAAATGCTACGGCAATTATCAAGGCATATACTCAATATCCCTGTCAGCTCTGGAACAAGCGAACGAGTTTTTTCCACTTCTGGACATATTTTAAATGAGCGACGTACTCGGCTTCTTAGCTCAAATATTGATAAGATAATCTTTCTGAATAAACATTTGTAATGTTTATATATATATATATTTTTTTTTTAATTTTTATATTTAATATATAAAAAGTTCGTGTTGGGCCGTGTTAAGAAAAATTTTCGTCGTGCGTGCGCGTGCGTGTTTCTAAAAGTTAATTTCGTGGCCGTGTCGTGTCGGGCCGAAAATAGCACCCTTGTACCCTTTGGGTACAGGGTATATTAAATGAAGCTTCTTACTTTAACATCACCTATGGGCTCCTAAGGTGTAACTTTCGCTAAAAATAATTAGTTGGCGCAACCAACTAAATTCTGTAAGTGCTTACTGCAAATACTTAAGCTTTGTACACCATACTTAGGTTACACATTCAAAACAAAACTTCCAACATTTTTATAACAAAATACATGTTTGTAAATGTTAACAAGAGAGAACGCTACAGTCGAGCAAGCCCGACAGTGTAATACCCTGTACCCAGGTAAACTTGCGCCACTGAGTTATATGCGCCCATAGCAGCAGCAAAAAGAGGAAGAAGAAGGGCGAACTTGTTGCTGCAGTTTGGGGGGGTTGTACTGTAGAGAATTTGTTTCGCTAATAACTTTTCTTAGAATTGACCGAATTGAATAAAATTTTATACAACAGTAGACAATTATATATAAATTATGTGTGCAAAGTTTGGTTTAGGTACCATTTGAAATGTAGACGCTATTGACGAAATTCTGTAGCAGGGGAAGGGGGGGAAAATTAAAAAAAAAAAAAAAAAAAAACTCGTCCTTACTCGGACCTAGGAGAATCTGGATGCCAACTTTGGTTATTCTAGCTTTTATAGTTTCTGAGATCCTTGCGTTCATCCAGACGGACGGACAGACGGACGGACATGTCTAGATCGATTTCTCTCGTCATGCTGATCAAGAATATATATACTTTATGGGGTCGGAGATGCTTCCTTCTGTATGTTACATACTTTGCACAAACCTAATATACCCTTTTTACCCTACGGGTACAGGGTATAAAAATAACATTTTTACAAATTAAGTACGATGTATCCGCCAAAAAGGAAAATATAAAAAAAAAAATTTTGTTAATAATTAATAATAATTAATAAATAATTAGTTTAAAAAATTTATAATTATTAAATTATTTAATAAAATTAAAGATATGTTCATGTACAGTTTCAACAGAATACATTTACATCAGAATCGTGTCTCTGCGTGTATGTATCAGAGAACTGCCACGAGTACTACATTTTCGGTCATACTCGAGTATTTACCCATACCCGGTATGGTACAGTTCGACTCACAACTGCAAAAACTCAGAAGTGAGCGGTTGTGCTTGCATGAATGCAAGTAATGACCGGTTGTGAACGAACGCTCACCAACCAGTCCATTTGACTCACAACTGCAAAGACTCAGATGAGCGGCGGTGACCGAAACTTGCCTGCGTGCAA